CGAATTTTTTGAACATTTGTGAGTTTTTTTTTTTTAATCCATGATCGAACTTTTTGAAAATTTGTTAATTTTTTTTTTAATCCATGATCGAATTTTTTGAAAATTTGCTGTGCTTTTTTTTTTATTTCTTTTTATCCATGATCGAATTTTTTGAAAAATGATGATTTTCTGAAAAGATGTGAAAATCGTGATAAAGTTTTGATTATCATGATGTATTAAACCCAATTTTTAATTTTTATTTTTTGAGTTTGCTGTAATTTTTTTTTTTTTTTTCCATGATCGAATTTTTTGAAAAATGATGATTTTCCGAAAAGATGTGAAAATCGTGACAAGGTTTTAATTATCATGAGGTATTAAACCATATTTTAAATTTTTATTGTTAAAGTTTTTGTTAGAAAAATTGTATGTTGATGGATTATTTATGCAAAAAAATGCATGTTATTATATTTTTAATGCAAAACTGTATTTTTTTAATGCAAAACTGTATTGTAAAATGCACTATTTCAGAGACTTAAAAATCTTTTTATTTTTCATAGTCATACATTTCGAAGTCGAGATGATCAATCAAAGGTTTTTCAATCTTAAAACTACCTTTTCCCCATGGATTTTTGAGGGGCATCCTTAGTTCTACATAATAAGGTAGCATGTTTATGTAAACTTTTTTCATGTAATAAATGCCTCGTACTTGAAAATAAGGGCTATCTTATATAAGGTTGCCACCTTACACTAGTAAGGTGCACCTCTTTTTAAAATAACAATAAATATATAAGCCAAAAGCTTTCATGCTCCGGAGTGAGCATATTGTCCATTTATTCCTTATGGCAAAGTATTCTTTGGATCTTAAAATTTGGGGATGTAACCTTTTCAATCCATATGCTAGACTCCATTAAATATTTTCAAATTGTATTATCTAAAGGCTTGAAAAAAGTAATGTCTCAAGATCGAATAGAAACGTTCTAATTTTTAAATGGTGAGATTTGACTGTCACAAAATTTAAAATTTAAATTTTTATTTTGAATTTAATCATACGATGGTTTCCAAAGTTTTGGATAAAAAATTCTTCCCAAGTTAGTCGTCCGCCTTAGGGAGTAAGTATATGGTATATGCCCCTGCTGGAGCATAATATATTCGCTCATTATATAATGGTGCTAACCATTTACAACCGATTTAGCATATTGATTGTGATTTTCAAAGTGATGCCTTTTTTTATTCAAAATATTCCATTATTTTCCTCGAGGATTTTCCATTTTCCATTGCTCTCGATTATTTTTTGACACTCGCTCCTTGTTTCGCCTAATTAATTTTCTACGATTTTCCATCATAACGGACCGTTACCATTACATAACATTGATTCTTCTTCCCTCACCATGATTTATGTTTTTTGAACATTGATTATGACTTGATTTGTGATTTTCACATTAGGGGAAGTATTTTTTTGGCCAGTCTAAGAAGGCCGAACCTCAGATCGTGTTGGAAAACTCATTTTCGATGCCGGAAGAATTGTGAGTCTTGCATTTCGGCCGCAACACTCATGGATATGAAAAAAATTTGTGAAGCTCTAAAAAGCATTTATCTTGTAGCACATTTTCTATATTGTTTATTTTTAAGTGTTGACAGATTTTATACAATTTTAGATCTTCAAATTCTATAAGCAATAGTGAAAATAGATATAGAACCATCATAAGGGTTTTTGGAGAGTATCATAAAGCCATGGCCCATCAAAATGGCTTGGGGTGGCAATGGGTCAGATCCGATTGGACCTGGACTTGGACACGAACCCGAACCTGAACCCGTCCGGTCCAAAATTTGGACCAATACTTGTACTTGTTGGGTCCTTGGTTTGGTTGGGTCCATTGCCACTATATGACTATGAGTTTTGTTTTTTTGCCTTTTTATTTTACCATCATATATCCATGTTATTGACAACAAGGTCACAATAGCCGTCATTAGATTTCAAGCGGTATGATTCATTGTTTAATAGCTAAAGATAATTACCAGTTCTTATTATATACGATATTTAATACACCCAAACAAATAGGGTTTAAAGTAAAATATTTTATCTGCAATGGTTTATGGGTATGGGTCGGGACTTGACCCTGACCTAGACCCGACCCGTTAGGTCCAAAAATTGGACCTTTACTTGGACCCAAGGTCGGGTCTATCTGTTAGGTCTTGGGTCTAGTCGGGTCCACTGTGACCCCTAAAAATGGCACACCTCCTTATATATGCTTTACGATTATCGTTTTCCTAGCAAAACATTAGTTACAATTTTTTCATGGGAAGGCCCGTTTATTTTGTGGGCCTTGTGCATAGCGGAGTTGTTGGCATATCCGACCTACATGTGGGCTTGGGCCCCAAGGCCCAATATATAGCCTTTTGGGCATGGAAGGAATATGAATGGGTGGCCATGATATTCAAGTTGGAATGTATTAGACATGGCCGTTCGTCTGATTGGAATGTATTAGGCAAGGAACAATCGTTCAATTAACAGGATAAATTCGTCAATTTTGGAGAGAGTACGAAATTTGATAGTTTTTTTGGTTGAACTTAGGACATAGTGTTGTAAATTGTCAAGTACTAATCAATTAAGCCTGACCTGTTTTTCTAAAAAATTGTCTGAAGCGTATTTTACCAAAAAAAAGAAAAAAAAAGTAGTTTATGCTTTGAAAAAGATTCACACATCTCTCTCCATAACTACGACTGATGTTGTTCAAACAATGACCTACTATCGTCATTTATGTTGATGTGGCTCAATCTCTCTCGCTAGAGCTGGTTTTGGATGTAGATTCTATACATCCAAAACCAGTTCCATGAAGAGGACCCCAGTCGTAATCTTCCCTTTACATAAATCTACATCCAAAACCAGCTCCATGAGGAGGACCCCAGTCGTAATCTTCCCTTTACATTTCCATATAACTAATTAGCTTATGAATGATTTGTTTAGGGAGAGAGAGAGAGTGAGTGAGAGAAAAGGACTTCTTTTTCTGTGGTCGAGAAGTTTCATTTCTTTTGTCATATTCAAGCATAGAGAGAGAAGCTTTTGACATATACACGGCGATGGGGATGGGGATGGGGATGGGGTGTTGGTATTCAGGGGAGCGGATCCCTCAACGCACCCTCCCACTCTTCCTTCTTACTGAGACTCAGAATTACTTACGCACAAGCTTTTTACATTTCTCCTACAGCATAAAATGTTTATGCCTCTTCGTATCCATTTGTCCATTCTAAATAGACGGCTTAGATGACCCCAATCACAATGTCACCTTCTATATTGTTTTATTTTTTATTTTTTATACAATATATTTTGACACCAAAATTTGAGCGTCCAATCCTCTCTTGAACTCGCACCTATAAAAATATTTAAAATTTTTGTTCAATAAAATAAAATGACTAACATGCTCTTGAAGTTTTAGGGATATTTTGGTCATTGTATTTTATCATTTTTTTAATATTTTATTTAGGTGCGCTCCATTGAAGTGATGACACATATTAAATTTCATATTCATACAGTTAGTAAAAAAAAATAAAAATAAAAATAATCCGAGGCGTCGGATCTAAATTAAATGATTAGTGGTTCACTTGATCTAAATTGGACATCTGGATGAAGAGGGAAGTATATATCTTGTATATTGTAGGGAAAGCATAGAAATATTTTCCATTATTTTATAATTTGAGTGTGTCACAAAATTCAAGATTTTAGTTTTTAACAATTAATCTTGATCCATGAAATAAATACAATCACTTAATCTTACATCTAATTGTCAAAATTAATTATGACCACCTTGTATCAAAGATATATGATCCCATTATATACTTTTCCAACAAAATATACATGGGGTTAAGCTTTCTCTCGAAATTGAAGAAAGAAAGAGGGAGATCAGCTTTTACTATGTTCATGCAGGACATGTCACATTGGGTTTTTCTGTAGGGTACTTTTGGTACGTGTGAAAATACTTGTATGAAAGTATTTTCATATAAAAAAATGTTCTTATGTGATTAGCTGTAGGAATTTTTTTACAACAATTGTCAATTAATGTGAAAAAATATACCGGGATTAATTGCCATAGAATTACATGAACATATTTTTTTTCACAAAAGTATCTTACCAAACATGCCCTTGGATTTTAGGGGTGAGAGAGATGTTTTTCGATAAGAGTACCATCTTTTAACATGTTCATGCACGATTGATTACGTTTACACTGGCTTTTAATTGAAGAGAGAGATGTTAGAGAGAGAGAGACGTTTGTGGATAAGAATTCCATGTAATGGTTTTCCTCATCTTTTATGGGAAAGTTACAATGGTTTTCCTCATCGACATAATAATACATATGCACTATTTGGTATATGCAAGGGGCCCTTGTGGTCTCCATCTTAAGGTTGACGCTAACGGCGGGAGATCGAGAATGGTAAAAGGCAAAGGGACGAGAAAAAGGATGCTTTTCCGTCAAACTTTCCGTCTAAAGTGACCGCGGTACCTTAGAAATAAAGTTTAGAGAGAGAAGACTCGGTGAGAAAAAAGAGTTAGAGAGAGAGAGCTTTTTATAGAGAGAAGGAAAGCCCAAATCAAACTTTCACCTTACCGCCCTTAGAAATAAAGTTTAGAGAGATAAAACTTGATGAGAGAAAAGAGTTAGAGAGAGAAAGAGAGGGAGACAGAAAGGCGAGCCCAACGCAAATTTCACCTTGGCCCGGGCTTTTTCACTTTTACCCAACTTTGGGAGCCCCCAATTCAAGCAAAATTTAGTGGAATTTATTCTCTCTCATCAAAATTTATTCTCTCTCTAGAGTTAATGGACAAGTCATTGTTCTTTCTCTCTCTAAGAAAAAGATGAGGAAATTAGTAGATCAGCACAATAAAACTTTTTCCTTAGGCATTATGCTTCTCTCTCTTTACCTCGGCTCATGTCAAAACGTATGAGACTCTCTCTCCCCTCTTTTTCTCTCACTAATCAGGGAACGGATCCTTATTATCTTACTAGTGGGTAATAATGCTCTCTCTCTAAGTCCCATGTGCATTGATGTCTCACCCTTTCTACAACTCTCTCTCTTAAATTAAGGTCACTATGTTTATTAACAATATAGTAATAATTATTTTTTTAAAATTATACAGTTATACGACATTCGTACACTTGTTAGGAAGTGTGAGCTAGTTTAAATAAAAAGTTTGAAAAAAAACAAAAAGTAAATACAAAATAATATGATTGAAAGTAGTATGAAAAGATATAAACACTTATAGTTTTATTGAAAGTATAACTATTAATAAAACAGAATGATGGACTAAGATTTGTATAATCAATCCTAATTAATTAAAAAAAAACTATAATAATATTGAAGATAGTACGATACAACACTGAAAAAGTTGTTCCATACAAGTTAGATCACATTTTTACATATACAGTCTAGATAGTGTAAAACATCTATTTTAAAAATGAATACAAGTAGGTTTTTCATTTGAAAATAATGTCAAATATTTTTTTACTATAATTATTATTTTCAATTTTTAAAATTTATTTATTTTATTATATTCATGATCTCCATATTAAAAATTATTTATCTTCAAAAATTAATTATTAAAATCTATATATTTATTAAGAGGTCTACATTTCTACATATCAGACTTGGACGCATAAAAACCGGGTCCCACAAAGCTGACACTCTAAAACTAACGTACTCTCTCTCTCTCTAAAATAACACACTCTCTCCACAACCAATATCCCTCTCTATCTCTCTCTAAAACTAACATGAAAAACACACTCTTTCTCTCTCTAAAACTAACCTTAAAAACACACTCTTTCTATCTCTAAAGATAGGGCCACTCTTATGTTGGTGAAAATGGCTGGAAATGAGAATATGTGGAGGTTTCCTTTTTGAAATTCTCGATAAAGTTTCGGGAAACAAGGGGGGTGCGTAACAACTATAAATCAATTTCAGTGGAATTTTTTTGACTCTTTAGAGAGAGAGAGTGAGAGATTTGTAAATCAATTTAGTGGAATTTTATAGTGAGAGAAAGAAGAAAGAAAGAGGGGGAGAATTATAGTTGGATTTTTTGAGTGGTTGAGAGAGAAGAGAAGAGAGGAGAGAGAGAGAGAGAGTAGAAAGAGAAAAAGTTGGGATTGGATGGGACTGGGATTCACTCTCATCGGCTCTTAAAAATCCACCTACTTCGCACCGCACACTCTCTCTCTCTTCTCTGGTTTTCGCCACCTCTTTCATCTCTCTTTTTGGAGATTTCTCTCGCTCCACTATCAGATCTCGGCCACCACGTTTAGCAGTGTCGATACCCCAATTCGCCACCAAAATTAGCGGCAATTTCCTCAATCGCTACGAAATTTAGCGGCGCAAAAGTAAATCCACCACAAAAAATACCATTTGCAACCCCTTTCCCCCACCAAATTTAGCGGCGCCACTAAACGGTCCGTTACTTCCTCCCGCCCACCACCAGAAACCCCCACTTCTACCTCTTCGCCCGTCCCC